GAGGGGGCAAACGGGCGCTCACCTGAGCCATCGGTTCCATGGTATTGAGACGATTCTCTGACTTCTCGAGGCGGTCGGTGATCTCTTTCAACATCTGACCTTGTACTCCAACAGTGGCAGCAAGACCCGCGACCTTATCATCGATCGATTTCTCGATCTTGGCGAACTGGGTGTCAAACATAGCTTGAAACATAGCTTGGATCGCGACCATATCGACCGCAATGGCGGTCGGATCTGGGGAGGGGCAGAGAGGGTATGCACTCAGTGGGGTGGTGGTGCAGGGAGCCGCTGGCAGGCTATCTGCCGGGGCCCTCGAGCTGCTCCTCGGCTGTTTTTTTAAGCTGGAGCCACGGAGCAATGGTTCCAACTTGAGCCAAAATGGCTACGGATGATGATGCTGATGATGATGATGATGATGATGATGACGATGGTGGTGATGATGCTGATGATGATGGATGACGGGTGATGGATGATGGATGATGCTGATGATGATGACGATGAGCAGATGATGAGGATGTCTCGAGCGGCTTGCTGGATTTAGCACTCCTAAGGGAAGTCCGCCAGGGGTATCTCACGGCCTCCGTTCGCGCCCAAATGGCGAGATGTTTCATGCGGTTTGCCTGTTCTGGTCGCGAACATCCTTCGATTTCGGAGCAGGTCCTGAGGATGTCTCAAGCGAGGCGCATCCTAAAAGGGGGGGGGGCGCCAGGGGTATATCACGGCCTCCGTTCGCGCCCAGACGGGGATGTCTCAAGCAGTTAGCATGTTTTGGTCGCGAGCATCCCCCGCTCTCGGAGATTCTGAGGATGTCTCGTGCGAGGCGCTGGCTATCGCACCCCAGGCGGCCCAGATTGCGAGGATGTCTCAGGCGGTTTGCTCGTTTTGGTGGCCAGACTCGTCTGCGTTCAGAGCAGATTATGAGGATGTATCGAGCGGCTTGCTGGTTTTAGCGCTCCTAGTGGGGGGGCGCCAGGGGTATATCACGGCCTCCGTTCGCTCCCAGATTGCGGGGATGTCTGAAGCGGTTTGCGTGTTTCCAAACCCTACATGCTTTACTTTCGGAACAGATTTGGATGATTTCGCGTGCGAGGCGCTGGTTTTGGCACCCCAGGGGGGCCCAGACTGCGAGGATGTCCTATAGATCAGGCCTCTCCTGGGGCACGAATCCTTAGTGTGTTACGCATGTTCCTATATATTGCCCTTCTCCTGTGACTCCAATCATGTGTTTCACGTACGTTCCTGTAGATTGGGCGTCCTCTGGGGCACGATTCCGTTGTGTTTTACGTATGTTCCTATATGTGTTCCTTCTCCTGTGGTTCCAATCCTACGCGCTTTACATCTGTTACATCTGGTTCCCAAGGAAGCCCCAAGAGGCCTCAGGAAGCCCCAGGAGGCTCAAGGAGGAGCAGTCCCTAAGATGCCCCAGGAGGCCCCAGGAGTCCCCAGGAGGCCCCAGGAGGCTCCAGGAATGCCCAGGAGGCCCCAGGAGGCCCCAGAAGGCCCCAGGAGACATCAGGAAACCACAAGAAACCCCAAGAAGTACCAGGAGGCCCCAGGTGCCCCAGGAGACTTGAGGAAGCCCCAGGAAGCCCCAAGAGACCCCAGGAGGATTCAATCACGCTCAGTCATGCTCAGGCCACTGACGTGCAGATATTCTCACCCTAAGCGTATAGACTCACTCGTACTACTGGGGTTCATACACACTCAACGTCATGCACAATTAGACTCTCTCCCAGGCTGTCAAGATCCAGGCTCGTTTATATTCGAAGTTTCTTGCGCCTAGACACTGACGGCGGACATGCCAATGCAGAGAGATGCACGTATGGGGAACTCCACGCAATGAATAGTTGTCGTTTTGTCTCCAACCCGCCTGTGCTTCAATAAGAGGCCCGCGCACTCGCCCAAACACCGTCTAGGTCGACCCCATACCGACCCTGTCGGCGCGTGCGAGACGTTTTTGTTCCGCTTGAGTCGCTGTCGTCGCCGTCGCTGCTCCCCGCCCCTCTCCCTGGGCCCTCCTCCTCCTCAAGCGATAAAAGCCAGGCGGGAATCAAACACCGTCGCACTTGATTCGGAGGAGGAGGAGGAGGTTGACCGTCAAACACCAGTCCCTTCCTTTTGATCCCTTCCCTGACGGGGGGGGGGGGGGCGAGTAGCGGGGGGGTCCTGGGGGGGGGGTGTCAGTTGTGTCGTGACCTTCCCCTCGGGCCCCTGTGGACAAGGGGACAGGCTCCTCAGGGGGGTGGTCCCCTTGCGGACAAGGGAAGCTCAGGACCCCTGCCCCCCCCACCCCCAGAGTCACACCCTCCTCCCTCTCATCTATTGTTGCGGGGTGCTGCGTATTTCCCCACATTCCTCCAGGAGGCCTCCGGTCCGCTCCAAGGCGTCTCCAAGTGGCCACGGAGCTTCCCAAGAAGTCGCCCAAGAGACCCCCCAAGAGAGAGCAATAGACTCTCAGGAGAGCCCCAGGAAGGGCTCCAGAGCGTGTGCGCCGGCGTCCCCCTTCAGGGTCGGCGGCAATCCAATGGTATAACTGCTACAACGCGTGACAGGGTGGCCCTGAGAAGGCACGTGCCTACGTATGTTCCAAACCGAAGAATCCGGCCGATGCGTTCCACGATCTAGGCGCGAACGGGCCCGTGAACCACACATGGCCGTCATCCCTATGGGTGATCCAGGTATCACGCCTGCTGAATCGCGATGCCATGCGAAGACACACGTCCATTTTCTAAGACTGGCGTTTCACCTGCGACATACCCATAATCTGGGCGCGAGCGGACACATAACTAACTCTGCACGACATCTCCTTTGGTCGGGCCGACATGGGATGCCTGCTACATCGCGGCTACCATGGGGCCCTGAGAGGACACGTGCGTACTTGCCAACTCGGGCGTTCCGTCAGAGACATCCCCACAATCTGGGCGCGAAAGGGCCACGGAAACACCTCATGGTCGACGACGCCTCCACAAGTATGCCAAACACCGTGTTTAATACATGGTGATCGAAAAACGTGTCTACTTTCGATTCGCCTGAGACGTTTCCACAATCTAGGCGCGAACGGGCCCGTGAAACACCTCTGGCAGACACCCCCCTGATGGTTAGATGGTACGCCTGTTACATCGCCCTTGCCGTGGGGACCCGAGAAGGTCCGCACCCTACGTCCCGAACGTCCCTTGTCGAACACACCATTGGGAGGTACAGCTGCAATGCCTGTGACATCGCGGTGCGGGAGTCTAAGCGTGATTGGATCGCAATCCGCCGACCCTGTCGGCGTGTGGAAGAGGCTGTCGAGTCTGAGCAACGTTGTAGCTGAGACGAATGGAAGCCCCTTCCCTTGGATCCCTTCTCCGACGAGGGGGGGGGTCCCGGGGGTGGGGTCCCTGGGAGGCTCCCAGGAGGGCGGGGGTCCAAGGGGTCCCGGGGAAGATACGACTCCCCCCCGGGCGGGGCGGTTCGGGGGCCAAGAGAAGCCGCAGGACGCGGCAAAAGTGCTCCAGGATGGCCCCAAGACGATCTTCGAGTGTACATATCGATGACGTATCAATATAAGTCGCCAAAGTAACCTCCAGACGGCTCAAAAGGTTTCCAAAACGCCCCAAAAGGTTTTCAAGAGGACTTCCAAGATGGCCCCAAAGGGGAAAACAAACGCATATTTCCCGCAGGTTGTTGAAAGATGTCAGCTCGCCTTGCCAGCTTCCCGACGCTCCAAGACAGGCCAAGAGGCCTCCAAGACCGCCCCAAGATGGCTCAAGGGGCCTCCAATAGAGCACCACAACGACCCAAGAGGGCCCCAAGACCGCCCAAGAAGCCTCCAAGACAGCCGAGGAGGCCCCCAAGATGGCTCCAAGAGGGAGCCCAGACGGTGGGCCCGAACGGACATTTCGATCCCTCGGCCTGGGAAGCTCTCAGGAAGCCCTCAGAGGTCCCTTAAGACGCCCCCCGAGAGGCCCCCAAGAGACCCCCAGGAAGCCCCAAGAGGCCCCCACGAGGCTCCTAAGCGGCTCCCAAGAGCTTCCCAAGAGGCCCCCAAACTACCCCCAAGAGGCCCCCGAGAGCGCTCGTCGTCGTCGTCGTCGTCATTCAGGGTCAGCGGCACCGGCAGTAAGGCCTTCGCAACATTCATTTAGCACCCAGCAACTTCGGATAAGAAGAGTGAGGGGGCGGGCGCGGGGTGGGCAGCGGGTGGGTAGCGGGGTGGGTCGCGGGGTGGGTCGCGGGTGTGTCAAGTGCGGGTCGCGTGCGAGAACGACGATGATACCATCACCACCACCATCACCACCAACAACAACGCAGCAACAAGCCGCACCGCTGAACCCAACTTCAGCCACGCACCTGGGGACAGCGAATGACCATTCGGCCCCCTGATGAGTAAGCCTGGGCAAGTGGGTCTGAGAATGAGTGAGTCTGAGTGTGAGGGAATCTGAGCACACGTAAATCTTAATACGTATGAGTGTAAGAGCGTGTGTGCGGAAGGGTCCACATATAAGCGAATATGAGTGTACGTGAATCGGAGCGTGAATATGAGCGTGAGTATGATTTCGAGCGCGGGTGGTCTGTATGGGAAAGGAGGACGGAAGAGTGAGGCGGAAGTGTGCCATTAACAACAATATCTCACGACTGGACATTTTGACTCAAAAGCATAGTCGGTAGAACGAGCGTACGTTAACGACATAAGGCAAGTGGCACATCAAACAGCATACATACGTAACCCATACATTGGTAACCTGGACAACGAAAGCGTGCACATAACACATCTGAAGCGACATGTGGGCACATAAGATATACTTAACATGATGTGTGGCGACCAGTCACAAACAACGATGTAACACCTCGAACTGCAGAGTAACAAAGAACAGGCTTCGACATCGTTCGCAGCATCTCCCTGGTAGGATCGCGTGAAGACAAACAACGAAGTCTGTTTGGCCTCGGGGAAGCGTGGCGTGGGGCTGCGAAGAGGAGACAATAAACTTGTAGGCGGGATGGGCGTGCCCGACCGCGTCCTAGTGAAGAGGTTGTGCACCTCGTCGGAGCTGAGAGCCGCCAGCGCCTTGGAGACAGCCTCCATCTCCAGGGCGCGTGTCTTCTGGCGTGTCTCCCACTCGGAGTCCGTCATTTTGCACCTTTCCCTCTCGTTGGAGAGAAGCTAGCCACACCCGAGGCTTTCACCCCCATTCCTTCCCCCTGCGACTCCTCCCCATCGCTTCCCTGCCCACTCCAACCGCCAGACCGATCGATCCCCCTCCTGCTCGATTCATAAGGTCAGCAAACTTCACGACGCTATCTGAAAAAAGGTGCTGCTCAGACTCTTGGGCGCCCCCAGACTCTGGGGGTTTGGGGTTGCTCCGACTTTGTCTCTCGCTGTCCGACTGTGTCTCCTCGCTCCTACCCCCTGCCTCCTTCTCCTGGTCCTCCTCCCTATTTCTCTTCCTACTCCCTCTTCGCCTGCTTTTCCAGGTCCTTTTCTTCCTCTTCCTCCTGTTCCTCCTCCTCCTCCTCCTCCTCCTCAACCTCCTCCTCCTCCTCCTCCTCCTGCTCCTCCTCCTCCTCCTCCTCCCCCTCCCCCTCCTTTTCCTCTTCCTCTTCCTCCTCCTCCTCCTCCTCCTCCTCCTCCTCCTCCTCCCCCTCCTCCTCCCCAAGAGGCCTCTAAGACGCCCAAGATGGCCTCCAAGACGGCCCTGAAGCGCCTCAAGAGGACCCCACATCGGTTCAAAGAGGCCCCCAAGATGGCTTCCGACGGCGTCAGACCCGTCAGACGGGCCAGGAACGCTTCAAGACGGCCAAGGAGAGGCCCCCAAGACGCCCCCACGGCCCCCAAGAGGCCTAAGGAGGCCCCCAAGAGGCTTCCAAGAGGCCCCCGGGAAGCCTCCAGGAGGCCCCACAAGAGTGCCCAAAGAGGCTCCCAAGAGGCCTCCTCCTCCTCCTCCTCCTCCTCCTCCTCTTCCTCCTCCCTCTCCTGATCCTCCCCCTCAGCCTCCCCCAAGTGTTCCCCGAAGAGTTTCCGGAGCGGCTGGGGGAATACATAATCAGATAGCTTGGCCAAGCTGGGGCCCAACGTTTGGCCACATAGGCGCTTCTCAAAAAGGCTGGGGGCGGCGGTGATTCGCCGTAGGCGTCTTGGATCCGCCGCCCCCTGTGCTTGCCACAGGGGTGGACGGCGTGCCAGACATTTTGCTGCTCTTCTTATTTTCAAACCCTTCCCAGTGGCCTTCGGCCCAGACCGCCTGCCCTCGGAAGGACCAGAAGGTGTGGCCACATCGCCACTAAGACGGCCCAAATGGCCCAAGATGGCCACCAAGATGCCTCCAAGGCGGCTAGGATCGCTCCAAGAGAGCCCAAGACGGCCCCAATATGTTTCCAAGACGGCCCAAGATGCAACCGAGGCGTTCCAAGATGGCCCCAAGATGGCCCAGGACGGCCCCAAAGGCCCCCAAGAGGCTTTTAATGCAGTCCAAGAAGCCTCCAAGGGGACCTGCAGGAAGGCCCGAAGAGGCCAAGACAGCTGATTTCCCGTGGGCTCTTGATGGATTTTAACGTTTTCGGCCTGCCGACGGCCCAGTGCCGCCGAAGAGACCCCCAAGATGGCCCCAAGAGCGCCCAAGAGGCCTCCAAGACGGCCCCACGACGGCCTCCAGACGGTCCAAAAGGCCCCCAAGGCGCCTCCAAGACGGCCCACGAGAACTCCAAGGCGCCCACTCGTCATCGTGGTTGTCGCCGTCATCGTCGTCGTCGTCATCGTCGTCGTCGTCGTCGTGGTCGTCAAACCTCTTCCAGTTTCCTAATCAAACCCCTCTCCCTCTCCCTCTCCCTTCCCCCTCCACCAACCCCCCCACCCCCCCTCCACCCCCCCCTCCACCACCCACCTCAGCCCCCCCTCCACCTCCCCCTCCACTCCCCGTCCAACTCCCCCTCCACCCCTTCGGATGTCCCTTGGAACCTTTTTGGGAGCACCCAGGGGGCTCCAGAGGGCCCCAAGAGGGCTCCAAGACGCGCCCCAGAGACCACTGAGAGGTCTCATCCAGACGCGCTGATCGATGACACCTACTAGCGGTTTCTGAGGCCTCTCTTGGGCCCCTCTTGGGCCCGTTTGGGGGCCCTCTTAGGGCCTTCTTGGAGCCATCATGTGGGCCAACAAGGGGCCCAAGAGGGCTCCAAGAGGGCCCCAAGAGGGTTCAGGAGTTATGTACCAGCGGCCGCTGGGTTGGTACATAATTCCTGGGGCCCTCTTGGAGCCCTCTTGGGGCCCTCTTGGGGCCCTCTTAGGGCCAACCCGGGCCCCAAGAGGGCTCCAAGAGGGCCCTCAGAGGGCCCCAAGAGGGCCCCAAGAGTGATGTACCAGCGGCCGCTGGGTTGGTACATAATTCCTGGGGCCTTCTTGGGGCCCTCTTAGGGCCAACCAGGGGCCCAAGAGGGTTCCAAGAGGGCCCTCAGAGGGCCCCAAGAGGGCCCCAAGAGTGATGTACCAGCGGCCGCTGGGTTGGTACATAATTCCTGGGGCCTTCTTTGGGCCCTCCTAGGGCCAACCAGGGGCCCAAGAGGGCTCCAAGAGGGCACTCAGAGGGCCCCAAAAGGGCCCTAGGAGTTATGTACCAGCCCAGTCTTAAGGACCCCTTAGAGCAATCTTATGGGCCGATGTCCCACGGGGACCACCGGGTAACTCCGATGTCCCACGGGGGATACCGGGTAACTCCGATGTCCCACGGGCCGATGTCCCACGGGGACCACCGGGTAATTCCGACGTCCCACGGGGGACACCGGGTAACTCCGATGTCCCACGGGCCGATGTCCCACGGGGACCACCGGGTAACTCCGATGTCCCACGGGGACACCGGGTAACTCCGATGTCCCACGGGGGGGCACCAGGTAAATCGTGCCCAGACCCCCCCTTGCAAGGTCGAGTTACCCGATGTCCCCCGGGGGACACCGGGTAACTCCGATGTCCCACGGGCCGATGTCCCACGGGGACCACCGGGTAACTCCGATGTCCCACGGGGGACACCGGGTAACTCCGATGTCCCACGGGCCGATGTCCCACGGGGACCACCGGGTAACTCCGATGTCCCACGGGGGACACCGGGTAACTCCGATGTCCCACGGGCCGATGTCCCACGGGGACCACCGGGTAACTCCGATGTCCCACGGGGGACACCGGGTAACTCCGATGTCCCACGGGAGGCCACCGGGTAACCATGCCCAGACCCCCCTTGCAATGTCGAGTTACCCGATGTCCCCCGGGGGACACCGGGTAACTCCGATGTCCCACGGGCCGATGTCCCACGGGGACCACCGGGTAACTCCGATGTCCCACGGGGGACACCGGGTAACTCCGATGTCCCACGGGCCGATGTCCCACGGGGACCACCGGGTAACTCCGATGTCCCACGGGGGACACCGGGTAACTCCGATGTCCCACGGGCCGATGTCCCACGGGGACCACCGGGTAACTCCGATGTCCCACGGGGGACACCGGGTAACTCCGATGTCCCACGGGAGGCCACCGGGTAACCATGCCCAGACCCCCCTTGCAATGTCGAGTTACCCGATGTCCCCCGGGGGACACCGGGTAACTCCGATGTCCCACGGGCCGATGTCCCACGGGGACCACCGGGTAACTCCGATGTCCCATGGGGGTCCACCGGTTTACTGAATAATGCCGAATGCGCCCCTTGCAAGGTCGACTTACTCGACGCCCCTCGGGGGACACCGGGTAAGTGGGGGGTGTGGAGCGCACCCCCCGCTTACCCGATGTCCCCCAGGGGACACCGGGTAACTCATGCCCGACTCCCCCCCGTGCAAAGTCGAGTTACCCGATGCCCCCCCCTCGCCACCGGGTAACCCGTGCCTAACACCCCCCCCTGCAAGGTCGAGTTACCCGATGTCCCCTGGGGGACACCGGGTAAGTGGGGGGTGTGGAGCGCACCCCCCAGTTACCCGATGCTCCCAAGGGGGGGCGCCAAATAACTTATGCCCGTCGTCGTCGTCGTCGTCGTCGTCGTTGTCGCCGGTCGTCGGTCGCGGGCCGGAAAAATTTGAGGCTTCGGATCCGTTTCGGGGCCCCCCTGGGCCCCGAGGGCTCCAAACCCCTGGGGAAAAGCAGCAGCAAAACTTACCACTCCAGGTCGAGGCGTCGTCGTCGTCGTCGTCGTCGTCGTCGTCGTCTGCGGGTCGAGAGCTCCAGGATGGGGCCGAAAGCTCCGGGTTGGGGTCGGGAGCTCCTGGACGGGGTCGAGAGCTCTGGGGTCGAAACAGGGGCCAGGAAATTTGGTCCAAGTATCGCTGCCTGGTCCTGCAGGGGCTGGGTAAGGGTGCGTTTACACCTCCTCGTCGTCGTCGTCGCCGAGGAGGAGGAGGAGGGCCCCAGGAGTTCTGTACCACCGGCCGCTGGGTTGGTACATAATTCCTGGGGCCTTCTTGGAGCCCTCTTGGCGCCCTCTTGGCGCCCTCTTGGGGCCCTCTTGGGGCCCTCTTGGGGCCCTCTTGGGGCCCTCTTGGGGCCCTACAGGGCCAACCAGGGGTCCGAGAGGGCTCCGAGAGGGCCCTCAGAGGGTCCCAAGAGGGTTCAGGAGTTCTGTACCAGCGGCCGCTGGATTGGTACATAATTCCTGGGGCCTTCTTGGGGCCCTCTTGGCGCCCTCTTGGGGCCCTCTTGGGGCCCTTTTGGGGCCCTCTTGGGGCCCTCTTAGGGCCCTCTTGGAGCCCTCTCATGGGCCAACCAGGGGCCCAGGAGGGCTCCAAGAGGGCCCTCAGAGGGCCCCAAGAGGGCCCCAGGAGTTATGTACCAGCGGCCGCTGGGTTGTTGCACAACTCCTGGGGCCCTCTTGGGGCCCTCTCGGAGCCCTCTTGGGGCTCTCTTGGGGCCCTCTTAGGGCCCTCTCGGGGCCATCTTATGGACGGCGACGACAACGACAACGACGACGACGATGACGACGACGACGACGACAACGACGACGACGACGACGACCACGACGATGGTGGTGACGACGACGACCACGACGACGACGATGACAACGACGACCACGATGACGACGCGCCCGAAATCAGCCGACAAAGCGACCTAGTAGTTAAACCGACAAGGTGTCCTTCTTTTGGCGCAGCGGCTCCGAGACAGCCTGCAGGGCAGCCTCTTTTTGGCCGCATCGGCTCCGAGAAGCCTGCAGCTCGGCCCCCGGTGACATTTTTTCGGCCCGCCCTTTCAAGGCCCCACGGCCGGCTCTTGGGTCGAGGAAGAAGAGGAGCAAAACCAGGAGAATCAGGAGCAGGAGGACGAGGAGGTTGAGCAGGGGGACAAGGACGAAATGAGAGGCCTTAAGCGGCTCCGAAAACCCTGCAGCTCAGCGCGGTTTGGTCTCGGAGCCGCTTCTGGCCTATCATTCCGTCCTTGACCCCTTGCTCAAACTCCTCGTCCTCCTGCTGCTCCTGCTCCTCTGGTTCCTGTTGATCACCTCCTCGTCCTCCTGCCCCTCCTCCTCCTCGACCCAAAAGCTGGCCGTGGGGCTTTGAGATGGCGGCCCCACAAAACATCACCGGGCCTCGGGGTGATATGTTTTTCCTGGGGGGGGCAAGGGCGTCCGCAGACGAGCCCGCGCTGAGCTGCAGGCTTCTCGGAGCCGCTTCGGGCCTCTGATTCCGTCCTTTCCTCTTGCTCTTCCTCTTGGACTGTTTCCTCGCCCTTTGGGGCCCTTTTGGGGCCATCTTGAAGTCAGCTTGGGCCGTCTTGGGACCATCTTGTGGACATCTTGGGCCGTCGGACAGCCGAAAAAGAAAACGCGCCCAAATTATTCAACAATTGAAGGGAATAAATACAACCATTTGGGCATTTCGGGCTCTCCTGGAGGTCCTCTTGAAGACTTCCTAGACTGTCTAGGAGGCCCCTTGCATCCCCTTGGGGCCCTTGGGGCCCTCTGTGGCTGTCTTGGGACATCCTGGGGCTATGTCGAATCGTATCGTTGCCATCTTGGACGTTTTGGAGCCGTCTTGAAGGCCATCGTGGGCGCCTTGGAATTCTCGTGGGCCGTCTTGGAGGCGCCTTGGGGGCCTCTTGGACCGTCTGGAGGCCGTCATGGGGCCGTCTTGGAGGCCTCTTGGGCGCTCTTGGGGCCATCTTGGGGGTCTCTTCGGCGGCATTGGGCCGTCGGCAGGCCGAAAACGTCAAAATCCATCAAGAGCCCACGGGAAATCAGCTGTCTTGGCCTCTTCGGGCCTTCCTGCAGATCCCTTTGGAGGCTTCTTGGACTGCATTAAAAGCCTCCTGGGGGCCTTTGGGGCCGTCCTGGGCCATCTTGGGGCCATCTTGGACGCCTCGGGTGCATCTTGGGCCGTCTTGGAGACATATTGGAGCCGTCTTGGGCTCTCTTGGAGCGATCCTAGCCGCCTTGGAGGCATCTTGGTGACCATATTGGGCCGTTTGGGCCGTCTTGGTGGCGATGTGGGCCACACCTTCTGGTCCTTCCGAGGGGCAGGCGGTCTGGGCCGAAGGCCACTGGGAAGGGTTTGAAAATCATAATCTCAGCAAAATGTCTGGCACGCCGTCCAACCCTGTGGCAAGCACAGGGGGCGGCGGATCCAAGACGCCTACGGCGAATCACCGCCGCCCCCAGCCGTTTTGAGAAGCGCCTATGTGGCCAAACGTTGTGTCCCAGCTTGGCCAAGCTATCTGATAATGTATTCCCCCAGCCGCTCCGGAAACTCTTCGGGGAACGCTTGGGGGAGGCTGAGGGGGAGGATCAGGAGAGGGAGGAAGAGGATGAGAAGGAGGAGGAGAAGGAGGAGGAGGAAGAGGAGGAAGCCTCTTGGGAGCCTCTTGGGGCACTCTTGTGGGGCCTCCTGGGGGCTTCCCGGGGGGCCTCTCGGAAGCCTCTTGGGGGCCTCCTTAGGCCTCTTGGGGGCCGTGGGGGCGTCTTGGGGGCCTCTCCTCGGCAATCTTAAATCGTTCCTAGCCCGTCTGACGGGTCTGACGCCGTCGGAAGCCGTCTTGGGGGCCTCTCTGAACCGATGTGGGGTCCTCTTGAGGCGCTTCAGGGCCGTCTTGGAGGCCATATTGGGCGTCTTAGAGGCCTCTTGGGGCCGTCTTTGGGGCCTCCTGGGCCGTCATGGGGCCATCTTGAAAGCCTCCTGGGCGCACTGGGGGCGAGGAGGAGGAGGAGGAGGAGGAGGAGGAGGAGGAGGAGGAGGAGGAGGAGGAGGAAAGGAGGAATAGGAAGAAAAGGACTGGGAAAAGCAGGCGAAGAGGGAGTAGGAAGAGAAACAGGGAGGAGGACCAGGAGAAGGAGGCAGGGGGTATGAGCGAGGAGACACAGTCGGACAACGCGAGACAAAGTCGGAGCAACCCACAACCCCCAGACTCTGGGGGCGCCCCAGAGTCTGAACAGCACTTTTTTCAGATGAGGCCGCGCTGCGCGCTTATCCGTGCACTCCTTTCGGTGACCTAGATTCTCTCCTCCCCCCTTCGATTCGGGGCCAGTTGTCTTGCACCTCTCTTTGAGGTCCATCAAGAACTTCTCGTCAGCGCTCAAAGAGTTTTTCGTGTCCCCGATGTCTTGCTTCGAGTGGGCCAACCGCTCGTCAGTGTCAGCGAGCTCCTGTGTTTTCTTGTCGACCTGACGGCTTCGACGACGGCGACGTTGACATCGTCGTCGTCAGCGTCGCCGTTGTGAGCGTCAACGACAGCGTCGTGGATGCCAGCGTCAGAGTCGTAGTCGATGTCGGTGTCGTCGATGTCGTAGTCCTCAGCGTCGCCATCGTCGTCGCCGGCGTCATCGTCGTCGACCTGAGCCTGGCCCGCGGCAATCTGCTCCAGCTTTGCGGCCTTGAGGGCCTCGTAGGCCTTCTGGTTCTCTGTCTCCGACTTCTGGGTCTCCGAAAGATCCTTGCACGAGCGCGCGGGGGAGAAGGAAGGCGCCCCTGGGCATGCCAGGAAGCTGGAGACAAGCGCACACAGAAAGAAAGCCACCAACACATGCAACAATCTCGCCCCTCCTCGAACGGCCAGGAGGATCAGGAGGGCGAGGCGCCTACTGGCGGGAGGACGGCCCTGAAAGGGCGCGGTGCGCAGGCCGAGAGGAGAAGCCCTCGGCTCATTCTGACCAGTCTTTGGCTCCAGTAGTTCCAGTGCCAAGCAAGGTGAAGGGAACGGAGGGCTATCGAGGCTGAAAGGGCACGGTGCGCAGGACAAGAGGAGAAGCCCTCGGCGTATTCTGGCCAGTCTTTGGCTCCAGTACTTCCAGCGCCAAGCATGGTGAAGGGAAGGGCTGGCGATCGAAAGGCACCAATTCCTGATGGCCTTGCCCGTTCGAGGCTTCGGGAGGCCTCTAGAGTCCTCCGGAGACCTATGGACTCCCCCGCAGGCCTCTGGTGAGCCCCGGTTCCAGTGCCAGCCACGCACGTCGTTCGAGAGATCTATAGGTAGAGACATGGCGTGACTGAGGGGGCGGGGAAGGCATTGAAATAGATCGGGCCTCGGACCGACGTTTAAAGATACGCTGAAAGGCATATACCCTTGATTCATGGGGGTGGCAAAGCGATGGAACCAGATTGCGATATGCTATTCTGATTATACCTGCGTGCTTACAGCGGTTGACTAGTAGCCGCAAGGCCGAGGAAGGAAGGGGAGGCATCGAAGAGGGATGAATCGTATGATAACCCTTTTCATCGCCCCCCAAACAACGAATTCTGACCAGGTGTTGGCTACGGGTGCATGCGTTGAGTGGGTGCCTCTGAAGGCCCAGAGGAGGAGCAGGATTAGGATGAGGTAGCAGGAGCAGGATGATGGTCTCTGAGATGTCATTCTCAAAATTCCCTTCATCTGCTCAGAATAAATCCGCTCTGCACCTCTGGGCCCGTTTTGAGAGACGTGTCGAACTGCAGCAACGCTTGCCTCCGAACATATCCGAAGACCTCCGAAGAAGCAGGGGAGGATGGAATCTAAAGTGTCCTCCTCGAATGCGCCAATCTGCTCAAAGCGCGTCCCTGGTCATCCTGACAGGAGTTCGAGCCGCGACCAGCCGTGGAAACGACGGGCCCCCACGAGGAACCAAGAAGAGGAGAAATTGCAATGATGCCTCTGAGAACAACGCCTATGAAAGAGCGCGCGTACTTGAAGGGTCAGGCCTGAACGCCCTTCCGCACACCCCGCTTCCTGCTGCGCGGAGCGCCCAGGGGGGCCGCCGAAGGCGCTGACCTTCCAAATTTCCCCATATCCGAATATGGGATTTGTTATTACTCTTACGTCGCCGACTCCTCCTCACCCCTCACCATCACTTCCCTCATCCTCCTCCTCCTCCTCCTCCTGCTCCTCCTCCCATTCATTATCAAGTTCGCTCACACTCAGGCTCACGCACACTCAGATTCACCCAGACTCACTCATGCTCAGACTCACTCATACTGCAACTCACTCACGCTCAGACTCACTGACGCTCAGGCTGACTCACACACATATACATTCAGGGTCACTCATCATTCAGACTCACTCATACTCACAGATTGTGGGGATGTCTCGAACGGTTTGCCTGTGTCGTTGCTCCGCATCTCTCGCTTTCGGAGCAGGCGAGGGGCTGGTTTCAACAACTCCTTCAGGGGGGTGGCAGGGGGGTGTCTCTGGGGCTTGTTCGCGCCCAGGCTTTGAGGATGTTTCAGGCGGTTTGCGCGTTTGGGCTTGTAATACACTTAGCTTTCGGACCAGACTCGACGGATGTCCTAAGCGAGTCGCTGGCTTCAGCATCCCAAGAGGTAGCTGACAGGGGGTACGATGTGGTTCTAACATCGAGCCCGGAGGATCTAGGATGAAGAATTGGTTGGGGGGTCTGAAATCTTACTCGTCGACGCGGCGGGGCGCGGGTCGGAAAAGTGATGCGTTTGGAGACCAGGAAGAGTTCAGGGATTTATTTTGAACGGTGTTCGACAGTTTGTGCATTTTCGATCTTCTGAGGTTGTATTATCGATCCTGAGCCTGGAGGCGGTTTCCTGGCCCCAGGGACGTCAGGAGTCGGTTCCACAAATTCGGGAGGCCGAGTTCTGGTCCCAGCGACGTCAGGAGACACCCCCGGAGGAGGAGTGTGAGGGGAGGAGCAGGAGGAAGATGAGGGGGGCGGGGGAGAGAAGGGGAAAGAAAGAGGATGAGGAGCAAGAGAAAGAGGAGGGCGGGTGGTTGGCGCCAGAAGGTCAAGGTTCGAGGCTCGAGGTTTGAGGTTCGAGGCTCACTCGTCACACACTGACTCACTCACACTCAGACTCACTCACGCTGAGGCTCACTCACACTCAGACTCACTCATCACTCAGGCTCATTCATATTCAGACTCATGTTTCCTCACGCAGGCTCAGTCACACCACCTCCTCGCTCAGACTCACCATGCTCAGAACCACTCGCGCACACAGACATTGAAGATGTCTCAAGCGAGGCGCTGGCCTCAGCACTCCGAAGGGGGGCGCCGGGGGGGGTACTGCACGGGCCCAGTTCGCGCTCAGACTGTGGGGGGGTGTCTCAGGCTGCTTGCCGGTTTCGGCGCGCAACATACTGCGTTCGGGGCAGGGTTTGATAACGTCTCGAGCGAGGAGCCGGTTTCAGCACTCCCGAGGGGGGGGAGCCGCCAGGGTGGGGACACTCCGTGCTTCACGCCCAGATGGTGGGGGTATCTAAAAGGCGGTGTGCCCGTCTGGTTGAGATTGGACCTGTGTGCTTCCAGGACGGAACGTGACGATGTCTCCGGCGAAGCGCTGGTTTCAGCACCCGTGCGGAAGCCGCCAGGGTGGGGACGCTCCAGGATTCGCGCCCAGCCTGTGGAGAACGTCTCGTGCGGATTGCCCGTTTGGGTGCTTGGACTCGTGCACCCTGCGAAATGCTTAAGAAATCATGGGTTAAGAAACTCAGAGTCTCAGAATTTGAATAAAAACCCAGAACTTCTATCAAAATCTTAGGATTTACATTGAAACATTAAGAATCATCGAGACTCTCGCCAAAAACTTGAGTTTTCTTAAGCATCGCCTAGGGTGTGTGCTTCCAGAGCAGTTCGCAAGGATGTCTCAGGCGAGGCGCTGGTTTCAACACTCCCAAGGGGGAGCCGCCAGGGTGGGGGCACTCGAGGATTCGCGCCCTGATTGTGGGATGTCGCAGGCAGTTTGGTTGATCAGACTTGCGTGCGTGCGAGGCGCTGGCAGGAGGAGGAGGACAGAACAGGAGGGGGGAGGGGTAAGAAGATGTGCGACCAGGCAGATTGTGAGGATGTCTCGGGCGAGGCGCTTGTTTCAGCATCTCTGGGAGGAGCCGCAAGAGGGGTATCTACTTAGATGCCTCCGCTTCACCCTCCCCTCGCCCCTCCTCTTCCCCATCCACACTTCCAGACTCACTCCTGCTCAGACTCACTCACAATTAGATTCACTCATACTCAGACTCACCCACACATATCTTCACACTCAGACTCGCTCATCCTCAGAATCGCTCATACTCAGAAACATCGTTATCCGACTCGCTCAAACGCAGACTCACTCAGGCTTGTTCACACTCAGAGCCACTCACACTCAGACCCACTCGCACTCAGACCCACTCACACTCAGACTTACATACACTCAGACCCACTCACACGAAGGCCCACTTGCACTCATATTCACTGACACTCCGATTCACTCGCACTCACACTTGCGAATCACTCGCACTCAGACTTGCAGACTGTGGGGATGTCTCGAGCGAGCGACTCGCTCTCACACGCAGACGCCCACTGACACGTACCGATAGACAAACGTACTAGGATAATGAGATGCACATGCTGAGATCTTGGCGTCGAGTAATTATTGTTTGCAGAGGGCGCACGGAAGAGAAACATCTCTTACGAGGGCGCCCCGTACTCCAGGCATGGAAAGAACATGACACGCGATAAACGAACACAAAGGCACCCTTGATGTTGCAAGGTCGACCTACCAACTAGACCTGACTGGATGTTATCTTGCGTATGCGGAGTTCGAGAAATGTCGCAGGCGTCCTCGCCCACAGCAAAACCGAAACCCGACCGACCGAAGCGATCGTATGCCGTCGACTGTACAGTAGTCAAACCGACCGAGCCGCGGACACCCTTGGAGACGTCTAGAATCACATCAAGCTCCAAAAACAAAACCTTTCGGAGGTCGACGCGGACTTCTTGGATCGGCGCTGGACCTCCCTCCCCACGCGCACGGAACGCGCCAGGGGCGGCGGCGGAGGGGCCGTTAGGTGGGTTCCGACGCCGATGAAAGAGATCCACGGGGACCTCTACAACATGCTAATAAAATTCTGCTTGTGCATATTTGTCATTATCTGGATGTCCTTCTCGAACGTTTCCTTCATCTGCTCCAGGATGCCGAAAATCTCGCCAGACTGCGGCGCGTAGCCCTCCTTGTGAACGGACTGGACAAAGGAGGCAACCACCCGGCGCTGCGAGCGGGTCAAGACCGTCCTGCGAAGGGAAGGCGGGCTCTACAATCTTATTGACATAATCATGTGTATCCGTCTCGCCCTCCTCCTCCTCCTTTTTCCTCCCTCCTCCCTGCGCCTGCTCCTCTTGCCCCCCCATCGCCCCTCATGTTCATCATCCTTCCTCCCGAATCCTACTCCCTCATCTTCGAAGCCCCAGCGGGAGGGGGGGAGGTGGAGTAGGAAGGAAGAGTGAACGCAGCTTGGAGCATGGGGAGCAGCAGGGTGTAGAGAGGACGAGGATGTCTGGAAGATGAGCAGATGGAGGGACGGTGGCATGAGTAAGAGACATGGGAGAACGAGTGGAATCAGGGAGGAAGAGTGAAACCAGGGAGGAGGCAGGCATTGAGGCAAAGGAGGCTGGACGATTTTACCAGGGACGCGGGGGCGCGGGAAGTGGGTCTCTGATCTGAACTCTGCTACGATGAGGATGATACCCCCGCAGGTCGAAGGTCAACATATGGGCACTATACACAGTGGCAGATGGGATGGAAATAAAAAGCAAAGACAATAAGGAGGGCGCGACTAAGCGCGTTGGGGATCACGTAGCACGTCTCGCCAGGCGCTTCGTCAGCGAAGGCTCTCGAAGGTCTTGCCAAAAACTCTGGGTCGACGCCAGCAAACTCAAAGTCTAGGCCTAGAATGAATTTAAACTGATCATCCCACATCCAAGGCTTGAAGCAATACCCGTGCAACTGCATTCCAAAACGTATGTTGACAGCTGAGAAATACTTATGACCTCGCCATCGCAACGCCCGGAGTGCTAGTCTATGCTGCGGATGCTTCTGAAGCCTAACAACGTGGCCGCACCAATCGGAGACTCTCTGGGGCCACACTACATCCCAGCGCTTGAGACCCAGCTTGCCCAGATAGTGGGCCCTCAGGGCGTTTGAATGAGCGAAATGGTCGCCTATGGAATCCTCCTGAAAATCCTCAAACTCATCCACCTCTTCCACAAGGTCGGCCAGGGCGCGAGCCTCCGGGTCCGCGGCGGGATTCGGATCCGAGGGCACCTCTGGCACGCTGGAAAAGGACAGATTCAACATGTCATTGCTCGTCGTCGTCGTTGTCGGCGGGGGCGGGGGTGGGTGGGTCGTTTTGGGGGGCGGTGCGGGCATTTTCTTTCTGAAAACCTTTCGTTCCATACGGATCTGGATGGCCTGCATCTTCTGGAGGTGGGTCTGGGCGAAGTGGAGGGTGCCAGCGGTGCAAGACAGGGCAGGGAGAACAACGCGACGGAGACGACGAAGCTTCTTACTGACCGTGCCTGCTCGGCATGTAAGAAGAAGCTTGTGTCTGGTAAAACAAGCCCGCGCGGCTCTAATCCTTCTGTCCACCTCGATCGACGCGTTGCGATCGAAGGAGATCTGATGGCCGAGCACCTTGATCCCGAGCTTTCGCGGTGTACTTGAAAGTTTGAGGGGTCTCGTTTTTGGGGCGTGTCTGCATTTTCTCCTGGGAGGTACTGCTGCCGAGAGCTTGGGGGGCTGCTGATCCCAGACATCCTGGATCGTGATCTGAGCCGGAGTGTCCTCCGTCGAGATCCACTCGACGCCGTGGAGGTTGACGCACCAGCCAGCTGCCCGAACGAGCCCGTGCCAAGCGTTGGTCATCCGCGTGACCATGGCGGCGCTGACGCCCAACAGCCAAAAATTGTCAGCGGGGATGAAGATGGGGATACGCCGTAGGCCTCCGTTGTGTTCATCTTTCTTTTGGTGCGCAAACAATTGACACCAGGAGCCCGGAGGTCATGGTGGTCAATAGGGTATCCCCAACCACGCTGCTTACAGAGTGCGAGGGATGGGAGCGCGAGGGCGCGGTCCATGATGATGTTGCATTTTATCGGTCCGTCGGGGCCGCCTTGGAATATCGATCTGGTCCTGGATACAAGTTTCGAAGGAGGTAGGCGAGGGGCCATGAGTCGGCCCCGTCCGCGGCGCAATTCACGGATCATGGCCGCAGTCAGGATGTCAGGGATGCCAGCGAGCTTACAAGCGTGGCACCAGACCGTGGCCGACGCAATCATAGGTGGCCTGGTCTGAAGGTAGACTGATGCGGCGAGATCGGTCTCGAGGCTTGGTTCCCTTGCTCTAAGAGTAGTCGCATATAGGCCGTCCACAGAGCTGAGAGCACGGCTATCGGTCTGCACTTCTTCATGAATAGCGGGCTACGCGTTTTCTCGATCAAGTGCACGCCACGCTCGCCCCAACCCGTTGGGGAGTCCATCGCCGGGTCGTTCAGCAGCCTAAGCTCGAACCGCGAGGCGAGGATGTCATAGAACTCATCTGAACCGTCCAGGGACTTTTCGACGACGAGCATTTCGTTTCGAGGGCAGGAGTTCCCCTTCTTCATCTAGAGGAAGATCTGACGGACCCTGCATCCCGAAATGTTGCCAACCACCTGGGGACCCACCCGGGCCCGCCCTTGCAAAATCCAGGAAGGGGGGGGGCGGGTCGAACGTCTCGCGAGCGGTGTAGGTCGGAAGAGAAATCTTATGCTAGCTTCAGAATATCATCTGGGTTGTCTGCGAGACCGCCCTGTTCGTTAAGCATGCTGCCTTGCCGGGGGGGGGGGGGGGGGGGGATGCGATGATCATATCACCCTTGCTGTAAGAGCCGCTCTCAATCCTGGCCGTGCCTGGCGCGGCGGATCTGCTGGCGCGCAAGCGTGTCAGCCGCGCAATCAAAGTGTCGGATCTCCGGGTGATCCGCGGCCCGTTTGGTCTGCGCATGGCTTCCGAGAGGGACCTTTTGAACGTCGTTCACCGTAGGCCTCGGCGGCAATCGCGACAGCGGTAGCGAGGTCGGCAAGCGATGGTGGGGTTCGGCCAGGGGCGCCCGTAAGGGGGAGGAACTGAGGGTTCAGCGTCGGGGAGGGGGGGGGGGGGCTTCGGGGTCGTCGCGGGGGGGGGGGGGGGGGGGGGGGGGGGGGGGGGTAAAAAGAGGGGGGGGTCGCGCGGCGACGCGCATCGTTTCGGTGGCGAGGTCATCTACGGGGGGGGGGGGGGGCAGAGGCGGGGCGGGGGGCGGAAGTCGGCGAGCGGTGAAAGGACAGAGGGACCCAGGTCACCTCTTCAACCACAGGGGGCGCCCAGGAATCATGGAGGGCCTTCCAGGAGTCTCGAGACCAGCTGGACACTTCAAAAAACGGACCGCCAGAAGGGCGGGATGGTTGCTGCCCGACTCCGCGCCTGCCTGGCGAGGAGGTCCGCCGCGGAGTTGCCCGCGTCCTTAGAGCGGCCCTTTGCGCCGCTCTGGGGGCAGACCTGATGCGCTGACAAGCTGCGTGCCAGGACTGCCGCAGTGCGGCGACCAAGTCAAATTGCTGCGGGCGCCCATCTGCACCATAAAATCTGCCGCGCGCATCGGGGCCGAAAATGAACTTGATATATAACAATGCGGGGGGGGGGGGGGGGGGGGGGGGGCGGGGGGTCTCTTCAGGGTGGGTGCTCTGGCATAGTAGCCACAGACAAGCTTCGATCGGTGCCGTGGGTCCGGCGGCGTTGTTCGACTCCCTGCGCGCGCCTACGAAGAGCGGGTCGGCGGGGCCCAAGACAAAAGGACCGCGTGCCTGGGCAATCGGGGACGCACCCGCTGTAGGACACGCCGCATTGAACTCTGCGAAGCCCCATCCAGCACACCCCAACAGTCAGCGCCGAGGTCGCTCACGAAATCGACGAATTCTATCGAAGACCGATCAGTCCAGGAATAAACCGCAAGCGTCCTCATCCTTGAAAAAATGCATTCGTCGCCCGATCGATGCCCGGGGAATCGCCCAAAGCATGTCGATGTGCAGCGAAGTCGAAGCAAGCCCAATTGATCGGCTTGGGGGGGGGAAGGGCCACGCTGAGCAGCAATATTCCAATTGCTTCCTGGGTCCTGGGCCTTGGTCTGGAACTTCGGCGGGGCGCGGTCCGAAGTAGTGGCGGTCGTGAAATTCACGGAACATGTCGCCGAAGATACTCGATATGTTTGGGGTCGCGCCTCTGGCCTGGGTCAGGGAAGTGGGCGCAGTGGCCGTGGCGGCGCCAATGAAGCGTCTTTTCAGCCCGTAGTCCTAAGTCATCGACCAGTAGACGATATAGTTCGTCCGCCTTCCCAGCGAGCTTGTCGAGCCGAGGGGGTTCGCGCGGGGGGCGGGAGAAGGAGCCGATGTGGGTAGAGACGAGGCCGGAGTCAGCCATCGATCCCAAATGAGCGCCAGCGCCCATGCCAATGGTCACTCTGGTTTCACCCAGCACCGACTGGCCCCAAACTGTCCAACAGTAAATGTCGTGACTTCGAAGGATGCAAGTGCGGGGGCACCGCGAGCGCACGACCGAATTCAGACTGCTCGCGCGCGGCGCCCACGCAGTGGATACCCTGGACCACCTCGAGGACGAACCAGCCACAGTCCCGATGGACGACGATCGCACTCTGCCTGTCCCTACCGCCCGGGGGGGGGGGAGGGGGGGGGGGGGCGCAATCACGCGATGCCCGTCGATGCGCTCTGGAGGTTGTGCGCGCGTAGGGCGAAGGCACTCTTGCAAAAGAAGCTGCGCCAAGGATCATCTCTCTCTCCTCTCTCTCTTCTCTCTCTCTCTCTCTCTCTCTCTCTCTCTCTCTCTCTCTCTTGTCTCTCCCTCTCTCTCTCTCTCTCTCTCTCGCTCTCTCTCTTCTCTTCGCTTCCTTCTCTTCTCTCTCTCTCTTCTCTCTCTCTCTCTCTCTCTCTCTCTCTCTCTCTCTCTCTCTCTCTCTCTCTCTAAATCTTTCGCGAAGTCAGGCATCTCCTTCGGCGACGCAGCTCTCGCAGTCCAACTGATACAACAGGAACGGTCAAGCATCCTCCGCCGTCGCCATCTCCTGATCGCAAGAGAGGGGCCACCTCGCGGATCGCCAGCAGCCTGGATCGCCCCGTTGTGGCCGTTCAGCTGGAGGTCGAGGCGGAGGTCCGCGAGGAGCGCCCCCGCCGTGGCCGGGATCTCCAGCTTGTGCGTGGACAGGT